AAGTTTACCTTTCAATATACCTGCATATATTGCACTAGAAACTGAGACGGAACACTGGCAGAAATTAAGATTGAAAAAGCCTCACAAGCCAAGCACACATGCAGCATCTCCGTGTCTCTATTTTTTCTCCCATGTAAGTGGCAAAGATATTAAAATATGTTAGGGTTGCCAACCCTCTAGGATTGTTCTGGAGTCTCCAGGAATTAAAGATTAATCTTGAATTAAAGATTAAGTCATGTGATGAAACATCCAGGAATATGTCCAACCAAAATTGGCAACCCCAGTGCCAGATGTCCACAAAACAGAGCTGATCCAAGATTCCCTTCAATGACCAATTCAAGACAATACCCAAGATTAAGGTTTTACAAGTGTGATACTCTCCCGCCAGTCATGTACCTTTAGTTTAACATTCAGCGATACTCTGATTTCAGAGGTCAACTTATATGCACATTGTATTAGTGTTTACTTCACAAGGATGCTGGTTAAACCAAGACATGAGGATATTACTGGAAGAAAATCTTTCACTTAAACAGAAATACATACATAAAAATCCTGACTTGCAGCTTCTTGTCCATGTTCTCAGTGCAGCCCCAGGCAATTTATTTCTTCAGCTTCAATGGCATATTTGCTGTACAAAGCACAGTTCCATCTTGTGCACGCTGAAGAGTTGCTTCTGTTCTGGAGATGCAAATAAAAACCTATTTCCCAAAATTCTGCATGAGAGAAAAGGCTACAGGTGGGGGGTTGTTGCCATGTGAAGGCCTAAAGAGAGCTGGAAAAAATGGGTCATAGCTTAGTCTCAAGAGATAGAGAGTACAACTTCAATGGTTAAATAAAAATAAAACCCTTTAATCAGCACTATAAAAAGAGGTCTGTGGTCAAAGCAGCCCTCCCCTTCATGAGACATTCTCAGTAGGAAAGTGCTGCTTCCCCAAACCTTGGAGAAGGTTATTTGCTTGATGAGAAATCATCCCCAGCTGCAGTCTGCCTCACTCATTCAGTGACTGCCAACAGCTGGAGGCCTTCTCTTACCTATGGAGAGAAATTTAACCCTTTCACTTCTCAGCACCTGATATCAAATATCCCCCTTCTAGACCCTTTGAAGGTTGAGCTTTGCCTTTGCCAAACTCTTCTCCGCACCCCACACTCCCCTTTGTGTCTGAATAAAGTACAATAATGGTGAAATTCTCACCACGACCAAAGGGGGCTCTGAAAAGGACAAACCAGTCCCATCAGTCCCTCCTGTTCTCTGTAGTCTCTGGCAGTATCCACTAGTGGCACTCTGCCTTTGTGCTAACACTACTACACAGAGAACTCAGCACAGTTCTGCCAGGGGTTATGTAGTGAACACACTCCAATGGTGCCAGACTGTCTTTTCAGTGTCTCTTAATGCTCTTCAAAAGTTTGATATTTTATTTACCTAATGATCCAGAGTATAGAAATAAATGCCCTTATAAAATGCTAATGGACTTTATGGTGACCAGCCCAAACACTTATCATAGTGATATTGTTTTCTATTAATAGGTTATGAAATTCCTTCCCCATCCCACACATTGCACAAACCTGCAGGATGCCTACGGGGTTATGGCCAGGATTTGGTCCTTAATGAAGATCAATTATGACAATTTATGTGAGTATTTATCAGGGCTCTGTGGGTGGAAAAGAAAATTAAAATGGCGCAGATTCAAACACAAAGCCCTTTAACGCAGGCTCTGTACAGAGAACCAGAATTTCACCCTAAGCTTCCAAGGTAAAGGCACCTTATTAACAGTACACTTTGACCTAGAATCACTTTCTTGATGCTTCTTGCGTAACATGCCTTGAAAAACCCATTTAAAAATAATCAGCAGCACATATGGTGTGTACAGTTAAATTCCCCCTACCCCCAAATGTATTTGATCAGTGTAAAAGTATCTTTGAGGTACAAGTTGAGAAAAGAGAAATTTTAAATCTACAGTAATATGCTTATATTATTATAGACCTTTAGCAGAGGAGGACTGGCACTATATGTTTAGATTTCTAGCAAAATCTGATAGGTCTTTGTCAAAGGAAATAAAATAAACCTGATTAAAAATATGATTTAGCTGAAGAGCTTAACACTTCTGCTTTTGGTACCTGCAAGTTCTTCCTCCTACGAACACCAATAAATAAATTAAATACTATTTTTCACCAATGGCAAAACAGAACAGGCATTTAGTTAAGATCTCACTCCTAGGCATTTTCAACTTAAAGGAGGTCCAGTTGTTCATTGCCCACTTTCCAGGATATTACTTCCAGCCAGCTGTATGCACTCTCCCCACTTGTTCTGCTGAAGTTCTCTCAGTACCTCACTGATCAAATCTTCAAGAAACATTCCAATGGAGTCCTCTTGCTTTGTCAAACAAAGCAGACAGCTGTCAGTGGTTCAGGTGTAGAGAGAAGGATGTCAAAACAGAACCTTAAATGTTCAGAAGCCATCTTATTTCTCAGAACTCTGTCTGACACTGGAGATTAGAAAAAGAGAGAGACTTTTCCTTTTTTTTTGTTGTTGTTTCAGGAAACAGAGTTTCTTTCCTTTTATGTCGACTGCAGAACTCTGCTTTTTCATGTTGAAAAGAATAAGACAGCTAGTTAAATGACCAGGCAATAGCCAAAGTCAGAGCACAGAAAACTGTCAAGGAAAAATTCGCTTTTTGCATGGTGGCTGTCAATGATAACAAATATTGCGATGGTCCAGGATTTGTTAACTAGATGTCAACAACAGGAATAATAAAATTCTCAATTCTATTCACACTTAAATACCCAATAAAATTGGTAAAGTAACTATGAATCTTGTTGACAATCCCTCCACACCCATTGGCAGTCTGCTGCAGTCTTGAATTCCACAAAGAGCAACTGGCAGCTATTAATTTCCCTCCAAATTCTCCTCCCAACACTTCCTTCCCCTCACTACTGCAACCACCAATACAACCGCCCACCCAAGCATTTGTTGCTGTTGTCACTTGAACGCAGCAATTCGGAAGTCAGGTTATAATTTACACAAAGACTTAAAACACTAGCTGCTTAATAGTACAGTCACATTAGACACATGAGAAGGGTCAGGTATGTTTTTTCTTCCTTCATAAGACTTACAACAGTATACAACAGCAACCAACTTTGTTTTTAGCATTATAAACAACTATACATTTTTATTTACATTTAGTATTAGCATGCTGAAAGTAACTCCATACTGACGGAGGCTGATATATTTAAGGACCGCTGTACATGTGTTTTTCAACACAGAACTTGCATGGCAAGAAACATTTATCACATGGAAAATATTAACTATATTTGAAAAGAAAGGGCTCAATCCTGCAACCCTTCATAATTCTCTTGAAGCCACTGAGATTTAACCTTGTAAGGATTGCTCGCATGAGTACGGCTTGCAAAACCAGGCCCCGAGTTGTATAAGGAATTAAAATGAGTATTCCTGATTCGGATGGCTACCTTACTGAGAGATGACACCATTCATGAAATAAGTTCAGTACTACAGGGGCACAGTCACAGTGTAGGAGAACACAAACCAGTTTCTATCATGCTTCAACTCCAGGAGAAACCAGGACAATCCTGATAAAAAATGATGTGACACCTGGACCACAGATGAGAAAATGTAGCTTCTGGTCAGCTTGGGATATGCTATGCCACAAAATAAGTAAGATTAAATTGTTAAAATCAGTTGATAAAACTGAATGAAGATCTGGGAAACTGGAATTCTCCTGCAAGTTTCAGCCACAAGCAGATAAAAATCCATGCAATCTGGTAGAATCCCTGTTAGGGCAGTTGTTCCTGGAATCTTACCCTGAAAAATATTAGCTGCTTCTTGGTAACTTTGTGCCCTATCCTGTGACGTACTGAGCACTCAACTCTCAGTACTGTTGATAGCAGGCTGAGATGCCTTCAGCAGATGGCAGGATTTAGGACTTAAAAAAATAAAAAAAAGAAAAACGTCAGATTGATATAGCAGTCTTGCTAAAGCCTCCTGACATATTACTCTTGCAGTACACATCTAGAACCAGTCCTGTGTGAAGATGAAATGTAAAAAGTATTAATATACTATGTTGACTATTCAAGAGTGCACATGTGGTGGAATAGGTGAATCTACCTCATTGCTTTTTATCTCTGCCCTCTAGTCGGAAAAAGTCTGGGGGAAAAATGAGGAAGTGGGGAGAGAGGGAGGGAGGGAGAGAGAGCAGGGAAAAGTTTGAGGGTCGAGTTGTACACCATTCAAGCAATAGTATAGCATCAATTGCTCCACTATGACATAATTTCAAAACAGTACAAAGCCTTTTCATACTGATTGTTAACTCTACCCTTAGCATCACTGCATTCTGTTGCTGGAGATCTCTTTAATCATTGACCCTCCACAAATCCCAATACTCAGGGTTCATAACTTTAGACATGATTTTCAAATATGAATAGTTGAAAATAATGGCCCTTTAAGATGCCTCAAATTGGGCACCCAAAAATGGAAGCACCTAAAATCAGTAGTCATTGGAAAATCTTGCCTTGACTATATCTCAAAATCCACAGTATGTTCCACATATATAACCTAACAAAACAGCACTGAAACAAACTTAATACAGAAACCTCTGTGTCCTGGTATCACATTGACAAAAACAATCTCTTCTTGGTGTGGTCATCTTTTGCGGTTACACACTGCCATATAAAGATAAAGACAGGCACAGTTACCTAACTACTTTAAAAGAATAAATACAAAACGTGTTTTTCCCTCCTTTAGGATTATTTTTACTCTTGACAATATTTGTTAAAAATATTACATCTGTCTGTAAGAAGATAATATCCTCCCTTGCATAATAGGGAAAAATAAACTCTACAGAACACACAACAGACATTCCAAATTGGCACGTAGGTGCTTTAAAGTGTTAGCATCTTGGAGTTGTAACTGTAGAGGGCTGCCTTTGCCTTCCCACGTCCCCCAGACTCATAAAGGGTGGAACTGTATGAATGTTAAAAGACAAGAATACATAAAAACAGTAAATGTTTATTTTCTTAGAAAAAAAGGATTCAAATGATTGTGATCACACTTCCATTTGTGTTCAGAAAAGCCAATACGGTAAGCTTAGTCCTTGATTAAGATACCTATTAAATGAAACTTTTCCCCCTTTAAAATACAAATTTCTGCTCCTGCATCACTTCCAGTATTTGTGTGATAACATGCTTTTAACGGACAATAATTTCTCAACTTCTTCCCAGTAGAGAAACAAGGCCTGTCATGGCAAAACACATCCCATCTCCAAAGGCTGAAATCACCAGTAATACTAAGCACTCCAGCCCATCTGTGGACTGACAAACAGCTTGAGGATTTCTTAGAAGCTTGAATGTTCAGTATGGAAGTTTTGTAAAACACTACCTCATCTGAAAGAAAATAGGCCAGCAACCTTAGTAAAATCAACAGCGTCTTTCAGATTAAATTTAAGGATTTCCTGCATACCTGGACACAGATAAGTGAAAAGTTGCAACAAGTTTTAACTAGCAGCAACAAACACAGTTCCATACGAATTCTTAGCAATATTCCTTATCTGTTGTTTTAAAAAACGCTGTAATTGAATGGAGCATACAACGTGGAAATGATCTTCTTTTGCTATGTAGTGCTGCTCACTCTAGAAGACTTCCAAAAGATTTTGACCAGGTTGTAATCTATTTACACAGTAGTATTCCTGTTTTGATTGGCAGAATTGGCACTATGTGATATCCTCCTCTTCTGAACAGTAATCACGACCCTTTAAAAAGAAACACACACACAAATGAACAATTCAAGAGAGAGAGAATGAAAAGCAAATAAGTAATTGGAAACATTGGATAAGATGACTGAGGTTTACAGGGAAGTACACACACCTTTCATCCACATATCGCAGCGGATTCTATTCACTGATTTACAAAGATAGTTTACACATAGATGCATCTAAATAGATGCAGAGATGTAGATCCACCACTAGAATACAGCAACCTATGGAGTGCAAGGCAGCAGCCATTATAATAGTATAAGCAAAATAAGACAACCATTTTGGGAACAGAAAAATGAAGAGGAATACTTTATCTATTAAAAGCAACAAGGGATTTTTATATGAGCAAAATACATCCATATTGAAATTAAACCAGGACAATGAGATTAATACCCTAAAGCTTGTGAAAAGTTTCAGAGAATCCTTACTGACCAGGTGAGTTACATTTTATGTCTCATCTGAAATATGAGACTTCCAGTAGTACAGTTCCCCTGTTCATCAAGATCACTGATACTTGAGGGGATTCCGCTTAGTATCCTTATTAAACTCTTCAATGTAACTAAAGGCCTGCTGAGCAACACAGACACTTTCCAAGTGGCCAAACTGCACTGCATAGTAGAGACTGCCATTCTATCTCACCCGTATAAATACAGAAAGATTTATAAATGCTATAACACTTCTAATGCCACAAAACTACTCTACATCAACGGCCAGACTGTGCCAAGCCCTGCATGGGTGCACTGAGGATGCAAAGAACCTCACTCAATCGGTGCCACCATGAAGGGGTTAGACACAATGTATTCCCCTTAGTGCAAGGTCTATGCAATGCAGTACCCTCACCACTAAGGTGCCACAAGTACTCCATTTTAAAGTAATTATTGCCTGGTGTGGCAGTCGGCTCAGATGCCTGATCTACTTTTAAAGCATTCTGTCAGCTTTCTGATTCCAATTTGCTTGCATAGGGAACAAACGCACTTGAAAGAGAGGGAGTGAAAGTGCTGGCTGAAATACCAGGGATACTTCCCACATTTCCCTGAAGTGTGATATGTAGATATTTTACACATGATCCCTTAAAGCAACTAGCAGGAGGAGACTTCAGCCGAACATACTAATTGAGTTACAAAGCGAAAACAAGGCCCTATTTGAATTAATATGAACAGCCATCTCAGCACTGCACTGCATCATCACACCAGTGCTTTCACATTAAAAAGCTTCAAATCGCAATATGGATTCATTTCTCAGTTTAACTTCAAATAGAGCAGTGAGGAGGAATGGCCTTGAACAGACCCACCAGCTCTCAAGAAGAAGAGGGGGCAGTCTAGTTTGAAGACAAATAGCAGTTTTATTTACTTAAGTTTGTAATAGGCTCCATCCCTCTCCCCATATCTTTAGGGTGGGATAAAATTGAATTATTTGTAATAAAGGTTTCCACTAAAGACAAACCAGTTAGTAGTTTTCACACAAGTTAGAAGGTTCAGTTAAAGACTAGTTTTTAACCCAGTACTAGACTGAAAACTGCCTGGTCTGTGCCAATATTTTACCTCAAGTGCACCAACTTGAATTAACACCACACTTTTTTTCCCTAATGAAGAAACAACCTAAGACTAAGGCAGGTCTCTGCTATAGAATTCTGTTGGTCGGGGTGTGAAGAGTTGAGATCCATGACCAATTAGGCTGGGGGTGGCAGCAGTGTAGATGTCGCAGTTGTATTGGTAACTTGTTTTGCTTGAGGGGGCTGGAATAAGCCACACCAGCAAAAGCATGGTTTTGCCAGCATAAGATGTATCCACACGAGGAGTGCTTCACTAATACAATATACCGGTAGAGCTACACCGTTATAGTGAGTGCTCCAAGGATAGACATGGCTTAAGGCAATTCAAATGTGACTCTTTGCTTGTACAAACCACACAGGGCTCAGCCTTGCAAAGCACTGAGCACTCTGTTGCAGATGCAGCAAAACACTTCCACACATGCTTAACTTTAAGCAAGTGAGTAGTCCCACTTAACTCAATGGTATTACTCATGTTAAAATTTAGCATGTGCTTAAGTACATTTGCAAGTGTGTAAGCAGTCCTAATGGGCCTAGAAAGGACCCACTGTGCTCAGTGCTTTGCAAAGATCAAGTCCACAGTCAGATAGTTACTTGTTACATTTAAAATGAAAAACGACAGATATACCGGGACGAGGGGGAGTGAGGGAAAGAAAGAGGTGACTCTTCCTTGAAGCTGGTGTGTGTGACAGCCACCCTTCATTCAGGACAAATGCAAGAAGCAGTTATGCTCCTTTTGGAGTAAGATAGATGAAACACTAAGAGCCACCAGCCAAAGTGCCAGGCCACATGCGAGGTTGGTCAGGAGTTGAGCTATACAGGCAGAGGGATTTCACTAGTGTCTGAATGCAAATGCAGAGAGCTGGGTATTGTTTGATGGGGGTGTGTGTGATTGTGAGAGAAGCTGACAGAAAGATCACAGAAGCAGCCAGAGATGATAACAGAAAGCCAAGAGCAGCCAGAGAAGCACCTGCAGTGTTACCCTGGGAGAAAGCTAAGGATATATCTACACAGCAAAGGAAGGTATGATTATAGCACAGGTGGGCTTGCTGCCTGACTACATACCCATGGTCTCCAGCAAGCTTGTACTCAGGTGACTAGCCTGCACTGCCTACCCACACTACGATCACACCTTCATTTGCTGTGTACAAATAGACTGAGACACAGAGTTTTCTGGTCTGAGCATTGGCTAGAAAAGGAGGCTTGGAATAGTTTCCTGACACAATATCTCCTGCTGTTCGATTCCTACTGTACTCAGGGAAACAGAACTTTGTGTGCACTATTTGTAAATACGCTGGATGAAATCCATCTCTCTTTCTAACCGGAACAACCCACAAGACCCTGAATATTGGCTAACTGCTTGGGTCAAAAGGGGTAACATTCTTATAATTATGATAGCCAGTTTAATATAATTAGCAGAAGTTTTAAAATGCTCCCACTAAAGAATATCAAATCAAGTAAAAATATAAGAGGAGGGAAAAAATAGTCCAGGTAATTTCCAGTATACACCACTTTTTTGGCCTCTCAGTTCTTATTTTTCTAGGATCACCTGCACCGCAAAAATACTTTAATACAAGTCTGTGAGTGTAAGGGGAAAAAAGAGATGGCATGCAGCTCTCTTCAACAGCTCACATGCAGGGGATAATAAAAAGTTAGTAGCTGGGTTCCCTTCCCCCCCTTTTTGCTGCATCTTGAAACTGCAAGTATTCTGTATGTTTTATGATATCCTTTATACACAAAAAAACTTCATTCTGTTGTTCTAGATGACAGACTGATAAATTCTCATGGCAGGAATACTGAAGCCTTCTCAGTTAAACGGCTTTTTGTGCAGCTGACAGAGTTCTACACAGAAAAACAAAAAAGGGTATCTAAGGAGACACTGCTTCCACTATCACTCCAAAGTTTGGCACCAGAATCCTTTAGCTTGAACCCAAAGCAAATAAAGGGGAAGGAGGAAGAGGACTGCTGGCCTGATGGGGTGAAATGAATTGCACCAAACAGTCCTTTCTTCTGCTATCACTAAAAGGGCTGGCTCTACACAGTGGCCTCTTTCAGAATAGATCCCAAAGCTGGGAAATATTAAAGTGGTTCTTACGGTGGGAACTCTTTTCATCAATCTGTTTTTGTTTACAGTGTTCATGAAAGGGTGGGAAGAAATTGCTAAGAGGAGGCACAAAATAAATGTACACTGAGTTAATTTTTTCATTTCTTATTCTTGTAAGGTAAATCAATGGATGCATTAAGAGCAATCCATTTTACTAATGAGTTTTAGTCTAAAACTCCTGCACTCACATATGTTTCAGTTAGCAAATTCCTTATTTCTAAAGGCACGCTTTACACACCGTACAAGAGACTGCTTTATGTTGCCGATTGGGTATCATGCCCACAGTTTTACTAATGAGATCTACTGAGTCATTACCATAGAATGACTGTTTGGTGGCCTATGCCAATGGAAGTTGATGGTCTTAAATCCAATTCCCAATGCACAGGTATAAACATCAAAAAACACTGTTGAGAACAGTTCCATTGTGGGCAGTCTTCAGCAGAGAAGACAAAGATTGAATTCTTAGAGAGACCTAGCTTCCCTCGAATCCCAGAGGTGATCCCTCTAGATTGGGGTGAAGCACATTGCTGTAGCACTGTGCAGAAGTCTGCCTTGTAAGTGTGTTTTGTGGAGAGAGGTCTTCAATGTCTAGGGCTGTCAATCTGGCATTTCTTAAGAGCAACAAAGTCACTTATAAAATATTTATTTAAGTGGAAAGGGAACAAAAGATTCACATGTATAAATAAAAGTGTGTGTTCAGAAGATATTAAAAGATTCAACAACAGGATGTTAACTCCTTTTGGAGCAGGGCCGAAGTCAAGTGGCAACAGAAAATGTGTCATTATTTAATCAGTTATATACCAAAATGAGGGAACAAAGGCTTTAAAAATATTGTGGAACTGTAAAATCCTCTACTGCTTCTCTCTAAAATGTTAGGTCTTCAATGAAAAAGTCAGCTCTAGAAATTGTTTACACTCTAAGTTTTCTGAATGAGAGTAGTTACACTGATATAACAAACGTGTAGTGTAGGTATCTCACACTGGTATAAGAAGTGATTTGCCCTAGTCTGCACTAAGGTTTTATATTGATGAAACTACAATTGGTGAAAAAAATCCCCAGCACAGACCAGACATTAGTTGTTAGGTATGTAATTATATCTCATAGCATTGATGTTTTTGCTCTAGGAGGATGTTAAATGTGCCTACAGATTGAGATAGAAACAATAATAATTTATAAATAAAATATTGACTATAATGAAGATAATTTGGTTTCTCATTTTAATTTCTATGCTTCATACTTGTGATGCTAGGGTAAAGCAATCATTTTTCAGAATCTGGTTAAAATAGTAATGATGGCCATTTGTCAGGATTTGTCTTTTACCACCAAACACTTTAATTAGGGCAA